GGATACTAATTGAGAAGTTGGGTGGATTCACACATCCATTCTCATAGCCACGAATGATAAGAAAATAGAAATAAATGCAATCTATGTTCCATGGTCCCCGTGATCATGGTAACATAATTATGGGGGCAATATATCTTAAATACCATCATAATTTCTAGAGGGAGCCAAACATCTAGAGTTAGCTGATTTGAGTTTGAGCAGGTTTAAGCAGCTAAATTTTCTGTATTTGATCTATAATTTTATTTTACTTCCTTTTCATCTCTCCTAATCCTTTTTTTTTTGGTACCGGGGATTGAACTCAGGTCTTTGCACTTGCAAGGTAGGCAGTAGAACCACTGAGCCAAATTCCCGGCCCTTCTAATCTTAATCCTTAAATATACCTCAACCCATCTCAGACGTAAGTAAGCAGGTTCTCCCCTCACTTTTAACACTATTCCAGAGGAAGCTACTTCTAGGACTGAAGTATATTCTGTGCTTGCTTTAAGCATTGATTTCATGCAGGTGAATCCACTCACCCATCCCTACTCTTGCCACCAAGCACCACCTATCCCCTACCAAACAACTACAGAAGGAAAACCTTTTAATTCTCTGCTAAGAAATTTCTTCCTACTATGATGGCTGTGCAGAAAAGAGTAGTCAGGACAATTCAGGGTGGCAGATGACAAAAGGCTTTGGGCACATCTTTTTTCTTGTGATCAGAGCAGCTATGCATTTTTATTTTATATATTGCTTCTGATTACTCTTACTTTATGACAGGGCTCCTCAGATTTAAAACATCTGAGAACTATTTAGCATGGCACTTGGCACACACTAGGTACTCAAATCATTTAAAGAATAAAAACCAAAGAGACTGGCATGAGATCTAAGATTGCTTCCCCTTCTCACCTTCCATGGTTCTGTGGCTGCTTATAGGAATTGGTCAAGTGGTACCCCTTTTCCTGCTTGCAAAGGTACTGAGACTTCTGCTTGTTCCTTCATTGTGGGAAAAAATATAATCACCCATGGCTGGTTCTAGAAAATAATTCCCTGTAGCCACTACAGGAGTCAAATAGTTGGGAATAAGACAACATCTTTGGTAAGTAGGAAAAAAAAAGTTATATGTTTTAAGTATACTGATCACTGTGTCCTTACAGTAGCAGAGTACAGATGTAAGAAAAGGGACAAGATAACAAGCTAATAACATAATCTATCCAGCCAAACATAAAACATAAATTTAAAGACCAGAATACACCCTACATCCCTTGAACAGTCTTTTGAATATCATGACTGAAAACACTCGAAATCTGTAGGTAATGAATTAAGGTGACTTGGACTTACTCCGTGATTTTGGGGTCCAGGTTGCCAATCCATAATCGGTGCCCTTCCTGTAGAGAGCCCTCTGAAAGGATGGATGCATTTTCCAGGGGAAGAGTTTTGGTTTCTGCTTCCATCAATCTCTATAAAAAACTAAAAGCAATGTTAACATTCACACAGGGGAAGAGCAACTCTATGTGAACATGATACTTCAAATTCAACCCAACAAACATTATCCAAGGTGGGTATGTTATGTGGCCCATCCAGGGCCCCAGAACCAGTTCCCTTAGGACAGCTCCTCTGGCAGCCAGAGCATAGAAGCTGCCATTTAAGGTGAAAGAGGCGTGGCGCTGTGGTCAAGCTTTCCCCCTCTGAAGCCAGAGGCTGACTGGGAAAGAGGCCAAAGTCTCTGTAACTACATGATACTCAGTTCACTGTCACGCAAAATAAGCCCTGGAAAACACCAGAAGGAGAATTTTAATGGAACTAAAGGGGATAGGTAGAAAAGAGCAGCATTATATCACCTGTCCTCACGGAACAGGAAATACAACAAAGAGAAGAGACAACTTGGGCTGAGAATGTAGCTCAGCAGTAGAGTGCCAGCCTAGCACGTGAGAGGCCTTGTGTTCAATATTCAGCACCACAAAAACAAAACACAAAATAACAAAAACAATCAAAAGAATGCACACACACACACACACACAAACCTACCAACAGGAAATCTATGAACAAGTTTAAGAGTTAGAGCTGGGTTTGAAAGTAGATTGTGTGACTTCTAGGCCTCAATTTCCTCAAATATAAAAATGAAGACAATAGTTCTATTTACAGGGTGATTGTAAAAATTAAAGATAGTATGTGTGCACACACACACAAACACAAAACCAATAACTACTGTATCTAACAACAGTAAGTAATCAATGTATACTAGCTATTATCATGTTTATGACCTTGGGAGAGACTAGGGAGACTAATTTCTTCCTAAATTATTCCAGTTCTGCCATTTGCTAGTTGTAGAACTTTGGGCAAGCTAACATTTTCTTGATTTCTTCGTCTGTGAAATGGAGCTAAAAATGCATAAAGTTCTGCAGATTCACTGAGTTAACACTCCTAAAACATTTAGAAAGCACATGGCATCTAGAAGCATTCAAGAGCGGTAAATTATTACTTACTGGTTTCAGTTCCTGAAATTGCTCATCTCAAAGCCAAGGAAAATGAGGGTTATAATGAAGACAGTAATGGAAAGTGCAGAAGAGCTGGAATGGTGCACATGCCTAAAAATCCCAGCACTCTGGGATCCTAGGGAAGGAGGATTATAAGTATGAGCCCGACTGGACAATTTAGAGAATTTAAAAAAAGAAAGAAAAAAAAGGCAGAAAGCTTGGACCTAATTTCCAACTGCACAGCATTTCTACTGGAAGTCATTTTTCTCCGAGTACTAGCTTCCTCATTTTTAAACTTCATTCAATTTCTAAGTTGTTTGCAGAAATACCAAAAATTGGATGATAGATGAAAAATAAAACTTTAATAAATGTTCAGTGTGATAAAGAAACAATAACGGGGTTATTGTTATTGAAAGATGGCAGGCTGTGGCAGACTTCAGAACACTCTGCTGGAAAAACACATGTGCCCTACATATCCAGAAGTGTCTTAGAGCTCAGCAGGGATTGTGTCTCAACAAAAGCGGACATATATTAACACTGCCTATTCATCTTGGCACATCCTATAAAGCCTAGCACACAGCAGTCCCTGAGTTAATTGTTGGAAGACATTTATACGTTTATTTGTGCTTTGCACATAATGGTATTTTTCTTCCTTTCTCACTCATACCTTTAATCTGTTCAGCAGTGCGTGTCAACTACAAATTGCTAACTCCCTTCTTTCCTACAGATTAAAAAAAAAGAAGAAAAGAAAGAAAGTAAAAAAGACAAGACTTTCAACTTTCTTGGCATCTTCTAATTAGTTACTGGGGTCACAGCAGTGAACAAACAAGAACGCTTACATCTGGAAGGTGAGCAAGACAAAACAAAAACAAAAGCAATAAACAAGATGTAATTAGTGAAAAATGTTGCAAACACAAGCAAAGAGATGTGACAGGGAGTTGGACTACTTTTTTTAGACTGAGTGGAGAGGGAAGGGAGGTGACATTTGAGTTGAGATTTAAATGATAGGAACGTCGATTTTCTCATACCTAAAAAGACTAGTAATACCAAAAGCTATTTTATATTCCCCAAAAGTGCCATGTTTTAATGTGAAGAATGCAGAATAGGGGCCAAAGAGACCTGCGTTCAAATCATAACATCTGCACTTAATTACTATGAGATATTAGCAAGTGACACGATTTCCTTTAAGTAACTCCACACGGTTTTCTTCCTTACCAGGGCAGAGCCCCTTGCTATTCTCTACCACAGCCACTTTTTTCTTCCTATATAATTCAATGAGTTATTTATTATTTTATTTTCTGCTTTCTTCACTAGAATGTGAGCTCCAAGAGGGTAAGGCCTTGCCAATCTTTTTTTTTTTTTGGTACAGGGGCTTGAACTCAGGACCTCGCTCAGCACCACTCAGCTAAATCCCCAGCCCTGTCAATCTTGATCATGATTTTATCACCAACACTACACTACACTCCTGCTTCTGAGCTGGGTGCTCAATATTTATTGTGAGTGAATGAATGAAGCAAGCCATTTCACTGAGAATCTCGGGTTCGTCTTTCTTCCTAGAATGGGTAGAATTATCCCTGTCGCATGAGACCGTTTTGAGCCTTAAGATTATTATGGTGAAAGCCCAGCACAAGGCTTTTTGAGGAACGTCATAAAAGATCAAGATGACATGTGACTATGAAAGCCCTCTGGGTTTGCAACGGAGACAATCCCTTACATTAACAGTTTACAAAATCCTTCTACATTCTCCCTGCTGAACTGCAACAACCCTGGAAAGCCAGGAAAACTCGCTGGGGAAAGTGAAGTCCAGGGAAGCAAAAGCATTCGTTTGTTCCTAAAAGCCAATCGTGGGGTCAAGCCTGGCAGCTTCCAAAATCCGGGCAGCAAATCCCCAGAGGTAAGGGTTCATTATTCGGGTTATTTCCGGGCCAGCGGCTGGACAATCCGGGGCGGGGCCTGAAAGCCCTCCCGCGAACGCAGCATCTCGTAAGCCTTCCACGCAGGGCTGGAGCTAGAGAAAGGGGACACGTCGCGGCCAGACTCACCTTGTCGCCTCGGCGTGCTGACCTCTGCTCATGCCCCAAAAGCAGGTTCCGACGCGTGGAACAGACGGCCGGTCTAGCAGCGTCTGCTTTGACTCCGCCAGCTGCCAGGCCGCTCGTGATGCGCTACGCCTGCGCCGCCGCGCCGCTTCGTGACGTCATGACGCCCGCGTCGCCGCTGCTGCCGTCACCGGGGTCGCCCGAGTCTTCCCTTAGTAATCTGGACTGTAGCTGGTGAGTGGCCTCGAGGTGTCTGGAGGCTCGCGCGGGGTCCATGGGCGAGAGACTCATCCAGAGACCTCTAGGGGCTCCTCAGGGACCGGACTCCTACTGACTTTGAATCCGGCTTGACCTTAAGGCTGGGGCGGGGCGTGTGGCATTGAACAAGTCTCACGGGGTGGGAGAAGTGGAGCCCGTCTCACTAGCTAGGAATTTAGGGAATGCCAAGGGACCTCGTAAATAGGAGCCCGTATGTAGTGACACACCATCTGCAGGAGCATTTCATTTTCAAAGCAATCCCGAGAGAGCAGGTATTATTATTTGCCATAATGAAGAAACGGAAGCTCGGAAATACATTCTCCAAGGTCACGCAGCCATTAAATAAACGATGGAGCTGAAATTCAAAACCTAGGTCCGACTCTAAAGCCGAAACTTTTAGCCACTGTTGTCCAGTTGGAAAACAGTTGCCGTTTCGTTCGCCTTTCACTATTTACAAAACCCGGACGAATTTTACAGGTGAGATTGAGGTCTAGAGAGTTTGACTAGTCTAGGGAAGTGGTGGAAACAAAACTCTTCTCTAGGGTTAGTACTCTTCCCTTTAGCCACACTCTATTGCGTTTCCCAGAATCTTGGAGAGTTTTATAGTTGGAATGCATGAAAACCCATCTGACCCCTTTAATTTATAGCTGAGAAAACAAAACCTAGGCAGAAGAAATGATTTGGTACGTGCTGTAAGCCAGTGGCAAGTCAGTAGTAGAGTTGTCAGAAATGCTTTTTGAATATAGGTTGGTAATGAATCCAAAGAAAGTGGATCGCAGGGCAGGATGAGGTAGGAATATTAGAATCAAAATCTAGCCTTAGGCAAAGTGCTCTCTCTCCACTTGTTACTGTTTTTCATCCCTTCCTTGGCTGTACCAAAGTAAGTGATTCGTTATAGAGTCAAATATATCTTTACACGGCACTGAAGAACCTGCAGAAAACTAGCACAGGTGGTAAGGGGGCAGTGTTGAGAAGTAGAACCTAGAAGCTGTCTTCAGAGGTGTAGATTTCGCCATTGGTGCCACCATTTTGACCCTGGGCAAGAACTTGAGTCTTCTGGACTGTTCATTAGTGTATTCATCATCTTTATGCAGTGTCTTCTGTGTCCAGGCATTGTGCTGGTAGGCATGCATGATACAACAGTGAGGACTACTACAAATTAGTCCTTGTAGTACTTTTAGTCTTAAACAGGATTTAGATAAATAATTACACATATCTTTTACTGTTAAAAATGAAGTTCTACGATGAAGACCACAGTGTTAAACTGGACTACAAGACACAAGGCCTTACTGGGTTAGAGGAGGTGGACAGGAAGTCATGCTCTGAAGAAATGGCAGTTAGGCTTAAGTCTGAAAAAATTGGGAGGTAAAGAGGCAAGGGAAGATCATTCCAAGAAGATTCAGTGACATGTTTGAAGACCTTGGAGCAGGAGTAGCTTTTGAAGAAAAAATTTTACAGGTGAGATTGAGGTCTAGAGAGTTTGACTAGTCTAGGGAAGTGGTGGAAACAAAACTCTTCTCTAGGGTTAGTACTCTTCCCTTTAGCCACACTCTATTGCGTTTCCCAGAATCTTGGAGAGTTTTATAGTTGGAATGCATGAAAACCCATCTGACCCCTTTAATTTATAGCTGAGAAAACAAAACCTAGGCAGAAGAAATGATTTGGTACGTGCTGTAAGCCAGTGGCAAGTCAGTAGTAGAGTTGTCAGAAATGCTTTTTGAATATAGGTTGGTAATGAATCCAAAGAAAGTGGATCGCAGGGCAGGATGAGGTAGGAATATTAGAATCAAAATCTAGCCTTAGGCAAAGTGCTCTCTCTCCACTTGTTACTGTTTTTCATCCCTTCCTTGGCTGTACCAAAGTAAGTGATTCGTTATAGAGTCAAATATATCTTTACACGGCACTGAAGAACCTGCAGAAAACTAGCACAGGTGGTAAGGGGGCAGTGTTGAGAAGTAGAACCTAGAAGCTGTCTTCAGAGGTGTAGATTTCACCATTGGTGCCACCATTTTGACCCTGGGCAAGAACTTGAGTCTTCTGGACTGTTCATTAGTGTATTCATCATCTTTATGCAGTGTCTTCTGTGTCCAGGCATTGTGCTGGTAGGCATGCATGATACAACAGTGAGGACTACTACAAATTAGTCCTTGTAGTACTTTTAGTCTTAAACAGGATTTAGATAAATAATTACACATATCTTTTACTGTTAAAAATGAAGTTCTACGATGAAGACCACAGTGTTAAACTGGACTACAAGACACAAGGCCTTACTGGGTTAGAGGAGGTGGACAGGAAGTCATGCTCTGAAGAAATGGCAGTTAGGCTTAAGTCTGAAAAAATTGGGAGGTAAAGAGGCAAGGGAAGATCATTCCAAGAAGATTCAGTGACATGTTTGAAGACCTTGGAGCAGGAGTAGCTTTTGAAGAAATGGATCAATTTGATTTGTAAAATATGAATGATAATCATACAATATTACATGAAAGTATTTTATATCCAAGGGGTCCTATATGTATAAAGTGTGCATATTGAGAGTTAATACTGGGTTGGAAGGGGTCGCTGGGGCAGTGGATGAAGCCAGGACGTAGGTTCATCATCTAGTTTTTACAAAGTTAAAATGCATCTTCTGCGACAAACAGGAAATTCAAGTTTTGAGACCTCAACTTTGGTAAAAGAATGTGTGTTTCAGATAGTTTAAAAATGGGCCAGGGATTTAGCTCAGTGGTTTTGCTGCCAGCCTCGCAAGCACAAGGACCCAAGTTTGATACAAAAAAAACTAAAAACAAAAACAAATAGTTTAAAAATACTTTAACAGTTGGGAATAATAAACATTTACTATTTATTGTGCATCTGTTGCATGTAAGACATTGTACTGTTTTATGTACATAGTATGTAGTATTGTGGCTAAAAGCACAGACTCTAGCTATGTTGCCTGAGTTCAAATCTTGAGCAATATTTCTGCTTTTGTTTTCTCATCTGTAAAACGGGAATGATTGGTAATTATAGGGTTTTTAAGACTCAAATGTAAAGCATTTAGAATAGTTGCATCACATAGGTATGGCTATCAATGTTAGCTATTGTCATTATTAATGTTTTTTTTTTTTTTCCAGTCCTGGGGATTGAACTCAGGACCTTGAGCATTTGAGGCAGGCAAGGTCCCACTGAGCTAAATCCCTCACCCTATAATCATTTTTTTTTATATCGCCATAGTAATGAAGGGGTGGAAGGTGTAGCTCAGACAGGCTAAGTGACGTAATCAAAGTCATATACCTAGTAAGTCAGGGAACTGGGCTTCCAGTTTTAGACTATGTCCAACGCTCATATACTTTTGCCACATTGCTTCTGTGTATGGGTTACTTTTGTTGGATAATACCTGGGTTCTCATATCAATTTTTTTTTCTAAGCTTTAATTCTTCATCTGTGCTGAGATGAATGTTAATGCGTTAAGTCCTTAAAGTAAAAGATCCAAGGGACTGACTGCCTTTACTGAACTTCTGCTTTAAAATTTCCTGACTTCTGTGCAAGTAAAATCTATGCCTTAAGCATTTCAGCTATGCAGTTTATGTATAGAATTGTCTTCCGGTTCACGTGTACTGGGTCTGCTTTAGGATCCTGCATTTTCTGCCAGAGGTTGTTTATTTCTAACCCATTTGGATTTCCTGTTACTTTGTGGGTTGGTATTATGACCTGCAACAGGAACACCAGGAAACCTGTCATAAATGGAGGAGCCAGAATGAGATAGTGTAGATTAAAACCATTTTAAAACTTCATTATTATGCAACCATATTTGGACATAAATATGAGTTAGATATTGGCTATATTATTCAAAAACCTAAATACAGAATCCTCACTCTGAGCCAAACTTTTGCTTAAGTAGGGTTGGGCCATTAGCTCCAAATTCTTGGGCAGTGATAATCTCTCTCAGCCTTAGTTTCAGCATCTGTAAAATGGGGATTGTTATATTTTATATATATAATATATTTATATATATATGTTATATATATAAATATATTATATATATTTATTTTCATTATTGATAGGATTAAATGAAATAATAAGGGTTAAGCAAGCTTCCCAGGCCTGACCTCAATAGTAGTTATTGATAATAATGAAGAGGGAAATTTTCCTTCATTTTTCATCCCAATCTATTTGTATAGATTTCATAAACTGCTATGTCTAGCGTCACTTGCTGTTAGAAATTCTATGAGGAGAGACTATTTGCCTTTACTACTTGTTTGGTTTTCTTTTTTAAAAAATGGTAATTCCTGAGCCAGGCACGGTGGTGCATGTCTGTAATCCCAGCACTTGGGAGGCTGAGGCAGGAGGATCATTGTGAGTTCAAGACCAGCCTGGGCTACATAGTGAGTTCCAGGTCAGTGTCGACTACATAGTGAGACCCTGTCTCAAAAAACCAAAAAAAACCCAAAAATGATCATCACATTTATTAAGCAGTTATTGTAGTCCAGCCTCTAGGCTAGGTGTTTTTATATGAATTCAATATTTCATTTTAAGATTAGGGTTATTTTTCTTATTGATCTGGAAAATGATGCCCAGAAAGAAATAATGAGTTACCCAAAGTGGAGATTTGCTTTTAAGCCTAACTGACTCTAGGCCACCTTACACATCAGTCATGACGTGTACATGATTTCTATATTGTGTCTGACCCTGGCATGAATGTGTTTGAAATGAAAGGTAATAGCTATCAGTAGATTTTAGCCTCCTTTCTCTAGGCACTGTGTCTAGTGTTACCTGCCTAATAACATTTTCCCTAACTCTAAGAAATAAATATAATTATCCTCATTTTACAGTAGAAGATGTCAAAGTACAGAGATACTGGAGAGCATTTAGTCATTGGTAGAGCTGGGACTGGATTCTGGGTCTCCCTGGCTGCAGAGTCTATGTTTTTATTCAATCCATCATACAGGAGGGATTTTTTTTTAATTATGTGTGGGACTGATTTTTGAAGATAGCAGCTTCCAGGTATTTGATGATAATTGTTCTTAATTTTCAGCAGAATGATAGCCAGATTCCTGTCAGAAGCTATTAGTGTTAACATTTGTCAGCTAGGACTGTGTTCTATCTGAGGTAGTTATAGGCTATAGCATCTTTCCATGGTCAAAGACCTCAGAAGTATGACATGTAACTTGTATTAACCCAGTGAAGGTGGCATTTTCCAGAGCTCTAGCTCTACTGAGCTCAAACCTCAATCATGCTTCAGATTCTCATTAAAGTAAAGTGCATTCTAATTGGTAATCAGTGCATAAGGAACCAAAGAAAATTTTAATTAAATGCTGTTGTGTAAATTTTCCAGTCATTTTCTGCCTGTTGAAATAGTTGTTTTCTTGTTTAAAGTCCTCTTGTAGTGTTCTGCTCTCCTTTTTAAAACTTTATGGAGATACTGTACTTTTCCTCGGGTGGTGGTCTAATTACCACCTTTAAGGATTTAGATGGTGTACCTTTGCTAAATAGGCTTTTTGGTGTAGTGAAAAGAACATGGGGTCAGAGCCCTACAGACTATGTGAGCTTCACTTTCTTAATCCTGTAAAATAAGGTTAATATTTCCTTCTGTGACTGTTGGAAGGAGGGTTACAGGTAATGTATTTAAATTGCCTATTACTTAGCTGCTTGTAGGAGTTGCTTGATAATTGATATAAATATTTTCTGAAGTTGCAGTGGTATCTTTCACTTAGATTTCCTTTTTGTCTTATTCTTTCCAGAGGATATTCACAAGGCTTATCTTCAGTCATGGCTTTGGGATTAAAATGCTTCCGCTTGATCCAGCCTGCCTCTTGCAGTTACCTTGGAGTCTTGATCAGACCTGTTTCAGAAGTTGCACTGAAGACAGTGGGTGGAAGACAGCCTGACCATAGCCAACACATGGCCTATCAGGCTGTACCAGTTTGCCATTTTGCAACCAAGAAAGCCAAAGGTAGAAATTGAATGACCACCTTCCCTTCTTCACTCCTTATATTTGGCCCTTCATTTAGCATAACTGTTAGGGTTCTCAGACATACACTGAATTTCTGCCAGGTGTGGTGGTGCATGCCTGTAATCCCAGCACTTGGAAAATTGAAGCAGGAGGATCACAGTGAGTTTGAGGCCCTGTGTCAAAAAACAAAAACAAAAACAAAACAAAACAGAAAGATGTACTGAATTTCTCCCTTGTCAACATGACAAAATGATGCCTGTCTCAGTTTAGTTAATTAGCTTAAAAGGTCACAATGACAGTCTGCATTAGAACCCAAGGCCTATTTTCTTTTTATCATTCCAGCTCATTATTTTCTTGGTGGCTTAGAAAATACCTAGTTTATTTCTTTTAGATTTAGAATTACAAGTATAAGTATCAAGCAAACCAGAACTCTTGTGGCAGGGATCAACATATTCTCTCCTTATAGGAAGATCCCTATTGAATGCATAATTAAAACCAGAAGGTTTTTGGGTAAAGAGGGTATTAGAGCCATGGATTTAGATGGATGATCTTAATGGCTTGTGTCATCCAGGAATGAGATTTTGACGTACTGCAGGTCTCAGTTTAAATGCCACTTCCTCAGGGAAGCCTTCCCTGACCTCTTAAACTAGGTCAGGTCCCCTGTTACATGCACTCATGCACACTGTTGTTTTACCTTTGATGTACTTAGAACAGCGGTAATTAATTAATAAATTGTAAGATTAATTATTATTTGTTACCTGCCCTCCCCATTGGACACAATGAAGAGAGCATCTGTTTCTTTGTTATTTTGCACTAAGCAGGGCCTGATACAGTATGCATTTAACGGCTTTGTTGAATGAGTAAATGAGTGACAAAAATTATCAAGCACTCCTGTTATTTGTAGTGGTAGGTCAGGTAATCCATTCTCAAGGATAGTGGTAGAAATATGCTGCTTGGATATTTTCTCACAGACTTTCCTTTCTAGTTTCATGCTCCTTTTTGTTACTCAGAAAATTTACAAGTTGCTGAAAGAGCATTAATGCTTAGAGGACTTATATTCTGTTAAGAGTGATAATAATAACATTTTAATTTGTATATGGTATTTAAGTTCCCAACATTTACTAATTTGATCTGTTATCATTATCTATTGAAATGATAATTTCCAGTGAAAAATTTTTATAATTATGTAGTGAATCCAGATTTTGTATCTTACACGAGGAAACTTAAATACATTTGTTAAAAAAAAAATTTGCTTATAGTTGTGTTTAGTTAGTGGAAAAACAAGAAACCTGGGCATGCTGGCATCTCATAGCATCGCAGTCTTCTGGACACTAAACACTAGCCTGTAAGCAGCATTTTTTCATATTCTATGGGCTTTGCAGTATTGTCATCTTTGAGTGCTTTCTTGAAAAGTTGGTTGTTTAACTTTTGTTGTTACTTTGTTCTTTTCAGACCTCCTCTTGCTATGTAGTCTAAACTGACCTTGAACTTACTATGTAGTCCAGAGTGGCCTTGAACACATCGCAATCTTCCTGCCTCAGCCTTCTATGTTGTTTGACTTTTGAAAAGATTTATTGGAGTCTTTATATTAGGATACTAATCCTTTATTGATTATGTTACATCTATCTTGTTTGCTTTTTACTTTGTTTATGGTGTTTGTGTTAAAAATAAGTTTTAATGTAATCATTCTTTTCCTTTATCATTTGTGCTTTTTGTCTTCTTCAAGAAATTTGTCATGTCCCTAGTGTGATTCCATTCTGCACATCTGTTTTCTGGGATGTTAGCTATTTATTTCCATCAGTGTTCTCTCCCACCTGAGTGCATGCCACCACTCCATAGAAGAGTCAATAGATATGGACATGAGCCCCGTGAGGCCCCAGAACTATCTTTGCCATTGTGAACTAAAGGCAGACAAAGATTATCACTTGAAGTTGATAATGAGCACCGGTTGTCATTAAGAACGGTCAATTTAGGGGCTGGCGCAAAGGATGAATTGTACATTGTCTTAGCCGAGGCAGTGAGTTAGGAAGACAGTCCAATTAAAGTGACACTGGCAACTTCAAAGGTGCCTGTACAGCCAATGGTTTCCCTTGGGGGCTTTGACGTTACACTACCTGTTTGAAGGTGGAAGTGTGGTTCAGGGCCTGTGTGCATTAGTGGACAGCACAGAGGAAGATAAAGAGGAGGAAGAGAATGTAAAATGCTTAAGTATATCTGGAAAGCGACTTTCCCCTAGAAGTGGTTCGAAGGTTCTACAGAAAAAAGTAAAACTAGCTGCTGATGAAGATGATGATGAAGACCATACTTTTGGTGATCAGGAAACTGAAGAGAAAACTCCAGTGAAGAAATCAATTTGAGATACTCCAGCCAAAAATGCACAGAAATCAAACCAGAATGGAAAACACTCAAAACCCATCAATACTAAGATCAAAAAACAAGAAGACTCCTAAAACACCCAAATGACCTAGTTCAGTAGAAGACATTAAAGCAAAAATGCAAGCAAGTATAGAAAAGGGTGGTTCTCTTCCCAAAGTGGAAGCCAAGTTCACCAATTATGTGAAAAATTGCTTCCGGATGACTGACCAGGAAGCTCTTCAAGATCTCTGGCAGGGGAGGAAGTCTCTTTAAGAAAACAATTTAAACAGCTTGTTAAAATTTTCCATCTTATTTCATTTGTGTAACAGTTGGTATCTGGCTATCCTTTTTATAATGCAAAGTGAGAACTTTCCCTACCATGTTTGATAAATATCTAGGTTCCATTGCCAAGAATGTGTTGTCCAAAATGTCTGTTTAGTTTTTAAAGATGGAACTCCACCTTTTTTTTTGGTTTTAAGTATGTATGTAATGTTATCTTACTAGGACATAGTAGTAGGGATGGTCAGACATGGAAATGGTGGGGAGACAAAAATACACATGTGAAATAAACTCAGGATTTTAATAAAGTAAAAACAAAAAATTCTTCTTGTACCAAGCCAGGCATGCTGGTGCACACCAGTAATCCTGGCACTCAGGAGGCTGAGGCAGGAAGATCCCAGAAGTTCAAGACCACCCTGGGCTACATAGTTCAAGGCCAGCCTTACCTGCATAGTGAGACCCTATCATCTCAAAAACAAAAACAAGCAAAAAATCCTTTTTGTCCCAAGATAATTTATTTCTGAATATGGTGTGAATTAAAAAATCTTTTAGGGTTTTTTCCATAGAGTTCATAAGTCATATCACTGTCATTTATTGTCCAGGTGTATTGAACCTGACGCCCAAACGTGCTTAACTTCTTTTTTTAATGCTACAGTATATACTAAAAAAAAATGAAGTTTTATTACTTACATATATTAAATGTGTTATATATTTTATATGTGAGTAAGGCAGTTTCTCTTATTGAGGTTATTATTGAATGATCCACTCCCCTCTTATTTGTATTTGGGATTTAACCCCGAGTGCACTGAGCTGCATCCCCTACCCTTTTTACTGTTTTCTTGTTTTGAGACAAGGTCTCATTATACTGCCCATGCTGGTCCTAATCTTGTGATCCTACTTCCTCAGACCCCAGAGTAGCCAGGATACAGGCAGGTGTGTGTGTGTGTGTGTGTGTGTGAGATGTGCGTGCATTGCCAAGGATCAAACTCAGGGCCTTACTCATACCAGGCAAGCACTTTACTACTGAGCTATATCCCTAATCCTTTCTTTTAATCTATTAATGTGGCAACTGAGCATCAATAGCTTTTCTGATGTTAAACTGCTTTTGTGTTCTTATTATGAACCCTATTTTTGATATATAATTACTATGTACAGTAATTGATGCATAACTATATATCTGGGTTTATTGAATCTATATGAGTGTAAAGATTTTTGAGTCTATATTTGTCAGATTAATCTTAATGTAATGCTCTAATATTGCTGAGCATAACTTTCTGTGATCCTTGCTGGTTTTGTTAGCAAGACTATATTGGATTTGTTACAGCTTGCATCTTGATGTTCCCACAAAGCCTTAGGCAGTCATAGGTGGGGCTTTTTGGAGGTGGCTGGACCTAGGGTGTGATGCTAGGATTAAGGCTGTCCCACCCTGGGTGTGAGTACTACCATCCCTGAGGGCAGGTAGCCTGGATGGAATATAAGGGACAGAAAAAGTGCTGCTGCTGTTCCTTGCTGCTTGCTGCTTACTGCCTGCCCTGCTTTGCCATGAACTGTTTATCCTCTACAATGCCTCTTCTGCCACACCACCCTGCCTTGGAGCCAGCCAGCTATGAACTGAAGCCTCTACAAACTGTGAGCTACAATAAACCTTTCCTCCTTTAACTTTGGGTGTCGGATATTTTGTCTCAGCAACAAGAAAAGTAACTAGGACAAGTTTTATGATATGAATGGGAGTGCATCTCTTTATCTGAATGGGATGGTCTGTATAACGTCAAGGTCATTATTAGTTCCTTACCTGTTTAACAGAACTTACCTGTAAAATCATCTGGATCTGGAATTTGTATGTGCATACGTGTGTGATATGTATAGAGTCATAGATTTAATTTCTTTAATGATTATGATTAATGATTATGCTTAGATTTTCTCTTTCTTCTTGACTTAGTTTAAGTAACTTATATATTTTCAGGAAATTTATTTTTTTCTGTGTTTTCAATGTTGTTGCTTTGAAGTTATTCGTAGTAGTCTCTTAAGATTACTAAGACCAGAGCATGGTGGCAGATGTTTATGATCACAGTACTCTGAAGACTGAGGCAGGAGAATCAGAGTTTGTGGCCAGCCTGGGCTATGTAACAAAATCCTATTAAAAAAAAACAAAAAAGGCTTGGTAATGTATGCTTGTAATCCCAATAATCAGGAGGCTGAGGCAGGAGCAACACCATAAGTTTGAGGCCAGCTGACTGCATAGCAAGATCAAGACTAGCCTGAACTGGTTTTTGAGATTGTCTCAAAAACAAACAAACAAACCCCCAAACCCCCCCCAAAAAAAAACAGTTACTTAATAGTCAAGCAAATTAACGTATCCATCATTTCACTTATTATTTTTTGTGGCAAGAATGCCCAAACTCTCTTTTAGCAAAAATCACAAATAACAGTATAATATTACTAACTATAGCCTTTGTGTTATATGGTAGATGTTGGGATTTGCTCATCCTGTATATTTGCCACTTCGTATTCTTGGATCTCGGTCACTCCTTTTTCTCCTACCCCATCTGTTTTATTCTCTATTTCTGTGTATTCAACTTTTTTTTTTTTAAGAGTTTGCGTATAAATCAGATCTTGTAGTATTTTCTCATGTCTGGCTTACTTTACTTAGCACATTATGTTGGGGCAAATGGTAGAATCTCTTTTTTTTTCTGGCGTAATACTCAAAATAATATACATATATGTATATATGTGTGTGAGTGTATGTATGTGTGTGTGTGTGTATACACACACACACACACACACACACACACACACACACACACACACACACATATATAGTGTGGGGGTTCTTTATCCATTTTCCCTTGACAGACACTTCAGTTGTCTTAGTTATTATGAGTAAATGCTTTGTTCTTCTCTTACAAACACTTAAGACTATACATTTCTATTTAAAGCCAGGAACTAGTTGTCATTCAATAAATATAGGCTCTTTTTTTAGGTCAGAGATAATGCTTTATAACTGTCCAGCCCTTGACATTTTGCCTTGCACATAGTAGACCCTTCACCAATTGCTTACTGTCTGTGTGTGCTGCTGTTCTTCTATTCACCGAATGTTTACTTTCTAGCCAAAGGGAAAGGACTGTCCCAAACCAGAGTGCATATTAACACAGCTTTGGTTGAAGATATAATCAGCTTGGAAGAGGTGGATGAAGAAATGAAGTCCTTGATAGAAGTACTCAAGGATAATTTCAACAAGACTCTCAATATAAGGACCTCACCAGGTTAGTTACCAATGTTTTGGGAAGGGTCTAGTAGAAGGAGCGTGGCTTTGACAGAGCTGCATTTTAGTCCTTGCTTTGGTACTGACTTAACTGGTGACCATGGGGAGTCCTCAGTTTCCTTCTCTCATTGCTACCTCGTACCTTTCAGGTGGGATTTAAAATAAATAAGGTGACATGTATTATGATTCTAGCACAGAGCCTGACATGTAATTAACAGTACCATTTATTTATCTATTCAGCAAATATTTGTCTACCGGTGCACAGTAGTGAACAAAAATAGTTGTCATTGCTCTTATGAAACTGTACACCGAAAAAGTAGGTGTTCTGTTGTGACTATATCTGGGTATTTAGGCTCACAGTTCTGACATTTTTGGACTGATATTTCCCATTTGTCCTATTTGGCAGTTCTTATCCCTTACTGCGAACCAAATAGCTGCAAACCTGCCCACCCAAGGCCTTAAACAGGAAGATTCTGCTTGGGTTAATAGCTTCCTGAAAGTGACTTTTCTAAGTGGGAAATGTCAGAACTGTCTAGGAGAACTGCTTGCAGATGTGATGGAGAAGTGAGTTGTCAGCTAATGGTGCAAGCAGGCAGGAAAAATCCAATTGCTGTTGAATTAGCCTTTTGCAAATTCTCATCATCCTATAGTTCAGCCTGGGACCCCCCCCTCTGAAAGTGTCTGTGGGAGTTGAGGCTGCTCCCACTCACATCTTGATCAGGAAAATTCTTAAGGAAATTAGAAAATATTTCATGCACTAGTTTTTAAGAAAGCCAAATGAAAATTTCATAGCTCCACTTAAAAACACTATCAGAAACATACTGAGTTCAGAGATGAGATCCAGTGTGAAACTAGAAGACCATTCTCATCATTTGTTAACCTCTGGGCTGGGGCACTTCTGCCTTTGCTGACAGTAGAGCGTGCCATTCAATCTCTCCCAACTGTTTATTTTAAACTTGCTTATTATTTTAGGTATGAAACTGATAAAGCATTCTGTCTCCCCTGTGCTTTCTGGCCTGTTAACATTCTGCAGTCGAAACCAGAGAGTAGTTTGAGAGGAGCTCAGGGAGAAATGTGATACTTAAAATTAGCCAGCAAGCTCCACTCTTGTTGAACTTAAAAAGATGATGGGCCTGGAAAGAGGTTGGGAGTGTAATTTGTTAAATGTTAACCTCTGAGATAATGAGGGGCAAGAACAAGGCTGAGGGAGATTCTCGCTAGGGACAGATTGAGGGAAAAGGATTTGATGCATTATGTCAATACAGATTTAGGGAATGGGAACCACCACAATTGCATACCTAAATGCCCATATTGGAACTTCTGTGGCAAAGGATCTTATGGCGGATCAGGAAGGCTAAATTAGGATCCGTTTTCAAAAGGCCTCCCATTGGTATTTCCTCTTTGCTTCTTTTTCTTCAGGGTTATGTTTGTGTAACATTCTATATAGAATTTGGAGCTGTGAAAGGATTGGGTTAAATAGGCAAAACTTATCAAGGCCTTTTTTACCAGATTCTTCCATATCTTCTTTCACTGTTATCTGAACCAGCAGGCACTTTTCCTTTTATATTTCTCCCTGTCTTCATTTCCTCTAACTTGCCCCTTGTACCCAGCCTTGTACATGCTAAGCAAGCACTCTATCACTGAGCTGCATCCCCAGCCCTAGTTGATACCTTTTTTTTTGTTGCCGGGGTGCAAACTCAGGCCCTTATGCTTACGAGGCAGGCAGTGGAACCAAATCCCCAGCTAGTTGACACCTTTTAATAGCTAAGACACAGGTTTATATTTGCATGTTCATTCTTGTCTTTTTTCCATCTGTCCATTCATCCATTCATCCATCCACTCATCCCTCCATCCATACTTTAATTACTGATTACTTTAATGGATACAGGAAGAGAGGGCATTGTTTCCATATTCCAGGAGCCTAGAACTTAGTATGAAGAGTCAAGTCAAACAACATGTATAAAACTATATGGCAAAGTGGAGTGGTGAAAATTGTGGCTTTGGAACTGGTCAAATCTGGGTTTGAATTCAGGCTCCATTATTACTGTCTTCAGAACTATTATTCCATAGTTTTTTTTGGGGGGTGGGCTCTTTATTAGTACATGTTTGTACCATGTAATGATTACATTTATCACAGGGAGTTGGTACCAGTTTTTTTTTTTTTTTTTGTACATGTTTTTTGTCTCCTAACCTTCCCTTCTTCTTTCTATCTCTTGGTCCTTTTCCCATCTGCAAAAGCTCTATTTCCATTTTTTTCTTTCAGTTCTTTTTATCATCCTGTTTACATCCTCACCTTCTCTCCTCCCTTTGTTTATTGTTCCTCTTCCCATTTGAAAAAGATCCCTACTTCCTATTATCTATCCTTTATTTTTCTCTTTATTTATATTCTGGGTTTCTCATTTAAGAGCTCTTGTGTCTGATTTGTTTCACTTAATATTATGATCTCAAGGTCCATTCATTTACCTGTGAGTGCCCAGGCTCTATTGTTTTGTTTTGTTTTTATGCTGTACAGTTCAGGCTGGTCTTGAACTTGTGACACTCCTCTTGCCTCAGCCTTCTGAGTGCTGGGATTACAGGTGTGCACCACCATGCCCAGCCCAGGCTCCATTATTAAGAGCTGTTGTGACCTTGGGCAGCTTACTCTCTATGCCTCAATTTTCCTTGTCTGTTAAATGGTGGAAGTAATCAGAACTATATCATGGGGTTATTGTAAGAATGAGAGGATTTAGCATGATGTGTAACTCATAGGACAAGCTCAATTTAGGCTATCATTGGTTATATAAGTATACACAGGGTGTTGGGGACTTGCAAGGGGTCTGTAATCCAGCTGAGGCAATCAGACAAGGTTTCTGAGATTAGATGTTACTATTGCTGAGTGTTAGAGAGGAGTTATCTGAGCAGAAAAGACTGTTCTCAGTAGAAAGAACAGTTTAAGGAAAGTTCCCAAGGCAAGAGAGAACAGAGTATATTAGAGATTTTTTTTTTTTTTTTTTTTTTTTTTTTTTAGTATTTTGAGACAGTCTCTGTAGCTCAGGCTAGTTTTGAACTTACTGTGTAGCCAAGGCTGGCCTTGAACTTATGGCCATCCCTCTGCCTCACCCTCCCAAGATTACAGGTGTGTGTCATCACACCTCACAAGAAATTGTAAATGGAGTATTTCTATTAAGACGAAGAATGTCAAGAAGCAGTAATAGTTAATAATATCATTGGAACACAGTTTTAGAGATGCTTTTCATACAGTCTTTCATTTAATCCTACACAATTTTTATGTCCCATTTAGAGACAGGAAACTGGCCTAGAGAGTTGAAGAGATCTGCCCAGGATCTCACAATCTGAAAGTGACAGAATTGGTATTTGAACTCAGATCTTTGGTCTTCAGAATCCTGGCAAATTTTGCTATTAGACCTTCTGGACTTGTGCGGGTTGAAGTCAGTGGTGTCAACAACTTGCTTGTGTCATTGCATCTGATTGAATACTTCAAATTGGGTCTTCAGCCCATAGTATTCTACTGTATTATTCTAACAACATATTGCTGGAACAACTTCAGTTTATTTAAAAGACTCATTCTACCCTCCTCCCTTTCTCTTTGTGTCTCAGAATGAGCCATCCATGGAGTGGTTTGTACTGTGAATGGTAAGGATTTTCTTCTAGTTCTCATTTGCATAAGAAATCAGGGAGTTTGAATAATGTCCCATCTGTAACTATGGCTCTTCTGCTTGCCCTCTTGTATTTCTGAAAATTTTGCTCAGGATTTTCCAGAATTCAGATAAGGATATGGTAACAATGAATTTTTTTTTTTTCAGTACTGGGAATCAAACTCAGGACCTTGCACTTGTGAGGCAGGCACGGTGCCACTGAGCTAAATCCCCAGCCCTAACAATGCAGTATTAATAGTGTTTCTGTTTGTTGTTTGTTTGTTTGCTTTTTAAATTGAGCTAGTTTCTGCAGGGGAGCTAGGCACCAAAATCAAGGATGGTATGGCCGGAATGATTCTACACTGGACTATGTTTCAGAATCGTGTGGTAAACTTAAAAATCACAGGATCCCACAAAATCACAGGTTCTCAGTTCTCCACAGAATCAAAATCTTTGGTTTGTCTAGTAATCTAAATTAAAAGACTCCCCAGTGATTCTGAAGCACCACCAGATTTGCATTCTACTTAGGTAAGGTAAAGGACGTTGATGACGTCTGAATCGAGCACACCTGAATTTTAGTCTGTCTTTGATTTTCCTTTTGTTAGCTCAATCATCTTTGCTCATTTATCTTTCTCAAGTCTCATTCTCATCTGTAACACACAGGTAGTAATACAGTGTTATAAGATAGTTATAAGAACTAAAGGGGATAATAGAAAACTTGTTTGTGCTTAGATTTTGGTCTTTGTTATATACTTGATTGTTTATATTTAGCTACAGTCCTTTAGCTGCAGCCCCTACTTCTATTTTTTTGTTGAGTTTATTTGTTCATTTTAGGTATACAGTACAGTTACATTCATAATTCTAGAAGGTATTTTTTTTTAACTGAGTTGGGAACCAAGGCCCAGAGAAGGTAAGTAATTTGCCAGAGGTTTTATAGCTAGTAAATGCTGTGTGGGTGATCAGCTCTTTCCAGTTTTATTTGTAAAAGCTGTGCATCACAGGAAACCTCTTGGACCCAGGCAAGCCAAAATAGCTGCCCGCCCTAGTAGCTAGCTGTTCACATTGCAGCCTCTATCACATGAGGCTGTTGCTCCTACTAAAGCCCTTGAACAATCTTGTCACTGATAAAGGATCCCTGAATGTTTGTGGAATCTGAATTAGATTGAGACTTAGATTGGAGCTCCTAAGGACATTTGGAATTCTAAAACGTTGTGACTTTCCTTTTAGGATCCCTTGATCAAATTACTGTGGTAACTGCTGATGGGAAGCTTGCTTTAAACCAGATTAGCCAAATCTCCATGAAGTCGCCACAGTTGATTTTGGTGAATATGGCCAGCTTCCCAGAGGTAAGGTGACCTTGCTGAGAGGGTCCCTCTCTACCATCATGATTTCACCACATGATTCTTTTGGAATGGAGGAGATTGAGTCAAGTCAGGAGGAAGTGATAACTTGAGCTTGTGGTGGTGAAACAAAAGAGAAGACTTAATAAAGGGAACTCAAGGATAAGGAAAACTCTCTTCCTCTTTGAATTCCTTTTTTGTTAAACTCAAATGTAATGGAAGCCAAGCAAGTAATTTAAATACTGAAATGAACTCCATTTAAGAAAAGCAATAATGGGGATATAGTGATTGATGCTTGGCCAATGAGGGGGACTCTGGTAAACTGGAGAGTCTGAGGGGGCACTTCTGCTCAGTTCCTGCTCATCATTGTCATTGCTAAGCAAAAATGGGGGCCTTGTAATCATCGTTATCAGATATTATAATTTTATTTCTATAAGAAGCTGTTCACTAAATATTGATGACTAATCCATTTTTCTTTTTTAAAAACTTTGTGACAAAAAAACCAAATTAAGCAGCCAGAAATGACGTGAGGGGCAACAGTTTGTGACCTCTGTCTTCATATTCTGCATCTGTATTCATTTGGAGCAGACCCTTTAGGATTCATATACCTTTCAGACTAAACTGACCTTTGGAGAATATTTGCACAGAGCATGATGGAAGACTAGAATATAGGTTGTATAAATCATCATAACCTTGAGGGTACATGATTTTACATCTAATTGGGGAAAATACTTGGGCCTCTTATTGATCCACTAGGAATTGGCCTGGATTGAAAGTCCTAGAGGAACTGGGAACTGGTCCCATCTCTACTTTTAACCAGCTGTTTGATGTTGGGCAGTTGACTTCACTCAGTGGGCCTCCAGTTCCACATCTGCTAACACAAAATTAAGAAGTCTCCCTGTTCTGATAGTGTGTTTTAGTAGTTCTGGCCTATAGAAGTAGACCAAAGTTGAATGTGCAGGATTCAACAGAGTAGGTTAGGGATTGTAGAAAGGGAAAGCTCTTACTCTGGACATACTGTTTTGAATCAGAGGGCTCTTGTAGAAAATGTCAGGCACACCTGTGGGGGTGCTGTTACCACTGTTGTACCCCATTCTCCATTTACAGCCAGGGTGAGCTTTTAAAAATATTGCATATATTGGACTGCATCATTTCCAACTTTAAATCTATCAGTGGATTTAAGTAATCCTTAAGAAATTAAAAATCCAAAATCCTATTGTAACCCTAGAAGACTTTGTATGGTCTGGCTTCTCCTGGTCTCCATTCTTTCCAGTCTTGTCCCATTGTCATCCTTGCATATTGCTCTACACACATTGGTGTTTCAGTTCTTCAGATGTGCTAAGTCCTTTGCACCCTCAGGGTCTTTGCATATACTTTTCTTGTTGGTTGGAGCACTTCTGGCTAATTGCTACTCTTATTTTGGATCACAACATAAATGACACTTTCTCAGGAAACCCTTTCCTAATTTGTCAAATCTAAATTTTTCCCCACACTAAGGTCTCACATGCGGCACAATTTTTTTCATTGCATTCACCACTGTTAATAGTCATACATACATTTACATGCTTATTTCCATCTCATTTTCACTAGATTACAATTTTGAAATAGAGGAATCATATCTAACTTGTTCATTGTGTTCAGTACAGAAGTTCGTGACACAGGAAGCACTCAGTAAACTTTCCTTGAGGGGGATGAATACTTGTCATTAGGTTGATGGAAGAGTAGCATTCATTCCTAGAGTTACTGAGGAGCACAGAAGTGGACAAAAAGGGAACTGTCACTTTCCTTTATTGGCCTTCTCTAAACTACTGAGGCTTTCTCTCTGTCTTGTTCACCTAAGGTACTGTGGGCCGATTTAAGAAATAGCCTCCCACTTACACAGCTTGAAGACCTCATCAGGCAGATTGCTTTTCAGAGCCAGCTGCTTTGCTTCTGTTATTAAATAGCCAATGATATTCATAGAACAAGCATCTGATTGGCCACTAGAGCATTTTTGGAGGCACAGGGAGGTATTTACAACTTACTCTTTACTTAGGAAGTCGGAGTATACCTTCAACTTTCAACCAGGGCATCTTTGCCATCTCTCCAAGTTGAAATACCCTAGGTTTTCCAAAAAGCTTAACAAACACCTCTGTAGAGAGGTTCATTTACAGGGACAAAGTGAGGAAGTGTGAGATACATTATCTTTTGAATGCCTTTATTTCATCTGGTGTATATATTAAACAAATAGCTTTAGCTAAACATTTCCTTCCTCCAGCTTAGAAGCTGTCTATGGCGTACCTAGTTTCATAGCTTCAAAATGCTGAGCTAATCCGCTGTGTTTATATAATTCTTTTCTGCTTCACATGCAGTTGGCTTTCTTTCCAAATGTGAACATTTCTGTGTCAGACCATAGTGACATGATACAGATTTACATGCATAATCTTTTTGAATGCATTGAAGACAGAAAATTGTGTTGCATTTGTTTAACACGTGTCCTGCTTGATAAATGATATATACGGTTGCTGCCTTCCATAAACTTGCCTGAAGCTAGAGTTAATGATGGAAAAGGAAAAAAGGAAACAAAAACTACAGCATCATTTGAACAAAACATGACAAATAGAAGAAAAAATTCCACAGGCTCCATTATTGTTCTTGTGGAAAGAAAAGAGCTAAGGTCTATGATGTGTTTGTTATATTGCCAGTCACTTTCTTATCTCTTTGTTTCACAGGATCAAAAGTAAAAATAGTATTATTCCATTTTATAGGTGAGGAAATGGAGGCTCAGAAGTAAAATATCTCTGGATTCACTGTTATGATAGAACCAATTTAAATATAGCTGTTAGACACAAAAGCTTGTTCTCCTTTCACTGTTCACTCATTAGTTCAACACATATTTCTGAGCAAGTGATTAGGTTCATTTGAGGTTCTAGGAATTGACTGATAAGACAGATTAGATCTCTGTTTCATAGACCTTATATTCTAGGGATTCACTGGGGCATAAAGAAAATGAAAGGCCAGTAATTAATATGGCAATGACGGAGTTGTCATGTCACGGTTTATATCAAGATGTCCTGCAAGAGCCTCATGGAAGAGAATTGGACCTTTGGGACACTATAGCTAACTGTGATGTTAGGAGGTGGGGCCTGGTTCAAAGAGGTGGTTCACTGGGGTTGTGACATGGTAGAGTATATACATCCTGCTGCGTGGTTTCTCCCTTTTCTCTCTGCTTCCTGGCTGCCATGATGTGAGCACCTTTTCCTTTGTTGTGCCTATCTGCTGTGCTTTCCTGGCTTGGAGCCAGCCAGCTGTGGACTGAAACCTGTAAGAACTGTGAGCCAAAATAAACCTCTCCTCTTTTACATTGTGCCTATCAGTTCTGTGTCCCAGCAATGAGAAGGAGACTAAAATGGAATTAACATGAGAAAAAGAAAAAATGGAAACAAAGTCTTTGTAGATCAGGAGGGGTAGAGGGGTTGAAGGGGAGGGCAGGGGAATGGGGAAAAAATAAGAACCAAGATAGATTATGTAAAGGTGCAAATTTCCAATGATGAATGTCATATCTTAAATGTACCGGTAAAATTAATTAATTTTTTTAAAAAGAAAGAAACTAAGACAAAAGGACTTATTTACTAGTCTACCAAAGTTTTGTCATCATTTATCCTTCAGATGGGGTTAGTGATGTTTTGAGCGTAGTACTCCAAGCATTCATAGCCAGTTGGTCAGTGTTGCCACTTGAGAGCAACCAGTCTTCCCTGGAATACTAGTGAACACCCTTCTGCAGTGAGGGGATGGAGACTAAGCTGAGAGATGGAAATTCTATATGGATATATGCCTGTTCAGGCATCTTGTTGGGAAAATTACTCTTGAATTCCCTGAGGTTTTGCAGCCTACTGTGTCAAACCAAAATATGAATACCTAGAATATATTAGAAGAACTGCTTCTTTCAGTAAATTTCTTTGCAAAATGAAACTGCAGTTGGTTAATATTTTTCTGCCTGTGGAAAAATTTATAAGATAAAGTTTTGAGGCATTACATATGTGAAATAAAGTAAGATGAGTTTTTCTAATAGATTGAAAGCAAATCATTAACAAGCTTTTACTTGTTTTTACAAATCATTAACAACCGTGCACCTGCCATTGTGTTTTTATAGTAAAGGTGTAAATATTGAGCCATAGTTCTTGCCCAGCTTGGTAGTGTTGGTGAGCACAGTGCTCTTGTTCCTATGGGGAAAAGCTATGTGGAACTACTTGGGCAAAACTGTGTAAAGGACGTGGTGGTGATAGTGGATCATTCAGTGAGAAGCTACAGAAGAGGATCTGGAGCTTTGATGTCAGGCTATTCCTTCAAATTGGAAATTATCCCTTTATAGTTAACTTAAAAAACCAGTGCTTATTTTATTAAGGAATATGGTTGTTCTCTTACAGAGGAGAATTAATTTCTTTTTCCTGCTAACTTTAATTCCTAATTCCAAATTACTTTCGGCTAGTTGAAAAAAATCAACTTTTTAATGTCCTAATTACTAAATATATTGGGCTTAGGCATCTATAGCAATATAAAGTAGTATCATAGACCAAATCACCTCTTAACTCTGCCAGTAACTGGAAGTGTGATGAGTTGGGCCCTCACTCCATCTTTCTTGGCCCTTAGGCCAGATCATGTCTGCGCTTAGGGATTTGACCTTAAACTTCAGGTCCCTGTTTACATAGTGAATGGACTGTACTTGGTTATGCCAGTGCTTTCCAACTCTGAGAATTGGTGGTCGGAGGTACTATTTTAGGAATTTACTGTTTTAGGCATTGACCACAGAGTCTGTGCATGGCCTCCCCAGGGAGTGTCCTCATCTCTTTGCAGAAGTTCTAGTTTATCTTTTTGACCATGCAGTAACATCTCATATAGGTGTAGAATTAAGACCATTTAAAAATGAAATTTTTATTTAGGCATCTCTATAGTACAGTAACAAATACCTGAAATAGTAAAATAGATGTATATGAAAACCCATTCATTTAAACTGTGAAGTCTGGGAAGGAACTAAGGCCAGGAATTGGCCTATGAATCCAAGTGATGTTGATTAGCTCTGCTCAAACCTGAAGTTCTTGTGAAAATATCAAAGGCCTTGTTTTCATGAATTCTACCTTGTTGTGCCAGTGGAGTTAACTCTCTCCCGGGCTGCTTTCTTTTCATCTTTTAGGATTGCATACCTGGTGTAGTTGCAGTGTGGATCAACTACGAAGCAAGACACTTTGGTAAATCAGCACACTAGTGTGCCAGCTGTCATGTTAGTGGGCACATCTGTCAGAGAAGCCCTAAAGGATGTTGGGTAGGACAGTAGTGCATGAGCTAAATGATGACCTCATTCTTATTTGGTGTTCTTATGTGCTTTTAATAAATGTGTATAATTTATGTAATAACTGCCCTGACTGCTGTTACTGTGTGCCAGGCACAGAGCAAGATACATTGCTCATGATGCACTACTACGTGTTGGAGGTTTAGGTGCCACATCTTCTCAGATTATGAAAGGATGGCTCAGAGAAGTCAGGCTTGCTGCTCAGGGCCATGTGGTTATCAGAGCTGGGGTTTGAATTGAGCTCCTTCTGCTTCCGTGCCTATGCTTTCATCTACTGTACCATACAACCTTCTGTAGAGCCCCTCACCAGCTGAGATTTATTGTACACTGTGAGCTTGGTGTGAGTGTAGATGTGAATGAGTTAAATTTATTTACTCATTCCAAATCGGCACTGGTATATTCTGAGTGTAAAATGTCAATTGGAATTTTTAACGTATGAAATCTTTCATCTGTCTTTACACCAATCTTTGCAGAGACTAGCCCTCCTCCCTTGAGGATTTATTGTGGTTTTGATCTGTCTTGCCTCAAACCATTGAAATCTTTTCAAAGAAGCAGAGCTGTTTTCTTTTTATTTTTTCTTCTTCTTTTTTTCTTTCCGCAGTACACTGGTACCAGGAGTGGACATAGTTTGCTATTCTGCTTGATCAAAGCACTCTACACCAATGTAACTTCCTGATCTTACTGGTAACAGAACTAAATGTTTCCATGTTCTGCCAAGATGGGTTGCCAGTTATCGACAGAGGGCTTACATCTGGTAATAATTATTTACTAATTCTGTTTACCTTTTGATCTGGTTTTCAGTGTACAGCTGCAGCTATCAAGGCTATAAGAGAAAGTGGAATGAATCTGAACCCAGAAGTGGAAGGGACACTAATTCGGGTACCCATTCCTAAGTAAGTTTGGCTGAAATTCACATATTTCATGAAATGGGGTGATTGTCTTTGGAAGGAAACCAATGCCTTACTGTACTGTCAGGCCAATCATATGTCTTACCTGCATCTTTTATCCTGAAAAACATCTTTTGAAATCAAGTTTACAGATTTTTCTACTATGTTCTAGATGCTGGGAAGGTAGCTGAAACCTAAATCCAAGTTTAGTAAATTCCAAAGCTTCGTTATAGCAACAAGAATTAATCCCAAAACTGAAAGACCATGAACTTTCGGAGCTGAACTTTTTCCTGTTTTATTTTTGCTTGTGTCCTTAGTACTCTGTAAGGCTGAATTAATGCCATGCTTTGAAATCATGCACATTGGAAACAAACAACCTAGTTTATAATCTGTGTAGATCCTGGGCTCAAGTTTAGTAACTATTGGTAAGTTCATTGATGTGCTTAATGAGTTTTTGGAAGAGTATGTGGTACCAGGCTTTGCTGGGGAGTTACAGACATGATGTGCTCCTTCATGGAGCCCACAGACTGTGTGCTAGGCCCTTCATTTGGGCTATTGCCAGCTTATTGCTTACTTGTGGAAGTTACTGTGACCCACAGTTGACAGACTAAAAAACTGAAGTTCAGAGAAATTCATAGTTGCCCAAGATCACGTAGCCAGTGAATAGCAGTCAGGATTCAAATCCAGAGTTGTCCTGTTACTCTCTGTGTAGATGAGTAATTCTGGAAAGTGCTAAGTGTACTCATGGACATTAGAATCAAGGTTTACAAGTTTGTCCGCGGGGTTCTTTTCTAGTTGTTGCTTTCCTGTCTGTTCAACCTTGGAAAAGCCACTTTAAAGTCTTCCCTGAGTTTTAGTTTCCTCAAATGCCACATGAAAGGGTTGTTCTCAGGTCCCTTCTGAAACTCCATATTCTGTGATGCTCTGGATTTGTGCAGCTAAATGTACATTGATGATGTGGATTCTTCTTAGAGCAGCCTAGTTGTATGACACATTTTCTTTCGAGGATCAGTGATATAATATGCACTTCTGCAGCCTCTAAGGAGTTAACAATTGCCCTTGGTGCACTGTGTGCAAGTTTGAAGGATTAAGCCAATGTAACTTGAATTTCCAAAGATGTGGCCATTATTTATTTTTTACAATATTTTATCTTGGTTAATGAGTGTAATCTAAGAGAAAGTTGGTGTACCAAAACCGTCTGCTACAGCAAACCTCATTTTTTGTGTACTTTCTTTCCTTTGACAAGGTGGTAGGGTCATGAGGCCCCTTACTGAATTATGTGTTTGGTAGTTTTTCAGATAAAAAATGAATGATCTGTTCTATATTATGAAGGCTGTGTCATGTGAGTGGATAAAGGTTGATTTAGAAGTAAAGAGGTCCAAGGCTTTTATTAGATTTTGGCACTGACTTCCATATGTCTCTGGGCACCATCTCCTTAATAGCTGGCTGCCAGCTTCTAGTTCTTTATTTGTGAAGTAGGTAGAATTGTACATAACGATAGGCAGAGATTTGGTGAGATTAATACAGTAGAGAATAGATTGAGTAGTATAAAAGAAACCATAAAAATATAAGATGCTGATATTTCAGTAAACTTAGTTTTCTGTTCATATATAATTTTGGAGAAAAGGATAGAACAAGGAAGGGAACTAATAAGTCAAACACCTACTCTGTACCAGGAACTTTTAGATATCTGACATATACAGGGAAAGCAAAAAGGTACAAATATTTATGCCTTGGTATCGCATAAGCATGCGATTCAGTTTCAGCTCTTTTGCTTTGAGTTTTGTAGCAGTGGCAACTCTGCCTCACTGAATCTCAGAGAGTTCATCTGAAAAATGAATATCTGTGGAACAGCGTGATAATGTACACAGGGCTTTTGATGCTTAATAAGCACCCAGCTAATGCTAGCAAATGTTGCTGTTTCCTTACTTCCCTTTCACAAATCGGTAAGAGCATCATTCCCTTTTAGGGATGATGAAATTGAAATTCAGAGAGGTAAACCGTTGACTCTAGGTACACAGTTGGTAAGTGGTAAAGCAAGCTGTGTTAGGAGTTTGGGAGGAACAGAGAATAAGAAGCATAAATTCCTAGGGTCAGTTTCATTGTGGTGGTGGCTGCAGTGGAGGAGGGATTTTAGAGGAATGAACTGGGGAGTGCTAAGCTACATTCATTCCCTGTGCTTTAAAGCATTTTTGAGACAGGGTCTTCACTGAGTTGCCCAGGCTGGCTTCAAACATACTATCTTCTTGCCTCAGTCTCCCTTGTAGCCAGGATTATAGGCGTGTGTCACCATGCTTGACCATTTGTGAATATAAAATTTCAAGTTTAGTTCTGAATAAATTTGTCTTTCATGATTACTCATGATTCTTCTTCTGCCTTATTGTAGTTGCAAGTTTGCTTTTTGCCTTAACTCTGGTTGCCCAGAGCTAAGTTTCCTTTTCCATTGCAGTAGAGCTCAGCTACTGTCTCACCATCTTTATACTCCTCTGATTCTTGTATTCTTATTTAAATGAGTCTGTTGAGTGTGTTGCTCTTAAGATGATCTGCCTCTGGTCTTTTCAGGAAGAAGGTGGAAGATAAATCCTAAATCAGTAACAGGTTAGGCTTGGAACCTGAGCGGTCCTTTTTACATCCTTTGCAGCCCCCAAGGTGTATGACTATAAGTTTTTTAATTATGGCTCTTCAGATACTGTTGGGCCTCAGAGACTTTGAGTAAGGATATCTGAGTGACAATGTATATTGCTTTGGTTTTCTTCTCTGGTAAATTTTCTTTGAAATTTTGGAGTACTCTTCTATGTGAGAATATTTTAGGTACCATTTATTAACCACCTGTACTAGTGTTGCTGTGCTGCTTGATTGCCTTAATGTTTGTTTGTAATAGTGCTGAGCTACTTAGAGACATGGACACTTCAAAGCCAGACAACCAACCATCCCAAGTGACCCCTCCTTTGGTCTCCTGACTCAAACTTGACATTGCTCTTTTAGGAAACCCTAGTGGTGTTTGAATGTGTGGAAATACTAAGGAGTACTCTTATGTGATCATATTTTAGGTACCATTTATTAACCACCTGTACTAGTGTTGCTGTGCTGCTTGATTGCCTTAATGTTTGTTTGTAATAGTGCTGAGCTACTTAGAGACATGGACACTTCAAAGCCAGACAACCAACCATCCCAAGTGACCCCTCCTTTGGTCTCCTGACTCAAACTTGACATTGCTCTTTTAGGAAACCCTAGTGGTGTTTGAATGTGTGGAAATACTAAGTAAAGTGACTGTGTACTGTGAGCAAACTAATTGCTGTATTTAACTCATTTCATTTTGTTATTTGCTATTTTTTCTTGGTCTAAAAAAGGTTAAATAACTTGCTCAAGTTCATTTAAATAGTAAACATTGAGTTGAGGATGGAACTTGGATCTGTTTGGTTTCAGACTCTTTATTCTTGCATCTATGGACTTCCAAGAGTACTTTCCGTTTTTATTTTTGGTTTGCTTGTTTTTGTACTAAAGGGTGGTATTTAAAAATTGAATTATTGTGTTAATTTTTTTTTACTGTCTTAGTTACCTTTCTTGTTACTGATACAAAGTACCCAACACCCAAAGTGGAGCAAAGGTTTATTTAGCTCACAGTTTGTAGAAGTTTCAGTTCGTAATTGGTTAGCTCCAGGGCAGGGTGGCATGACAGGGACATCACAGAAGAGAAATAGTCCATGGCAAAGCAGGGCAGGCAGAAGACAGCAAGCAAGTGAGGTATAAGTGATAAGCCATGACACCCAGGCTACCCAGCACTCTCACACCTTTAATCCTAGCATCACATTCTTGATCCCAGCATCTCATACTATAGATCCAGCCCCTTCCAAAAAAGCCTACTTGTGACTGCATGAGGCTTTGGGGTGACATCTAGATACAAACCATAATTGTCACTGACAAAATACTTGAGAAAATCAACTTGGGGAGAGATTTATCTTGATCATGGTTTCAGAGGTTTCAGTCCATGGGCAGCTGGCTCCATTGGTCTTAGGCCTGTGACAAGGCAAAGACATCATGGTGGAAGAAAGCGCACTGTCATTTTCTCACTTCTTGGTTCCTTTTCTCCCGTGGTTCAAAACACACACACACACGCGCGCACACACACACACACACACACACACACAGAGGATGGTGCTGTCCAAATTCAGAGTGGATCTCCCTCATCGGTTTGCTGTCCTACAGGCCAAGCAGCGGTCTCTGGAAACCTCCTCACAAACTCACCCAGAAGTATGCTTTACTAATTTCCTGGTCAGGTCTCAATTCAAATTGACAATCAAGATTAACCATCACAATTATATAATAGTACAAACTCTGGAACATAACTGCCAAAGCTCAAATCAGGATGCATGATCTGACAGTGAATTTGTATGCTACTTTTTGGTTAGAGAGGCAGTTTGGGGTACAGGATACTTTTTTTTTTCATTTTGGTACTGGAGATGGAACTTGGAACCTTGCGCTTGTTAGGCAGGCGGTGGCACCACTGAGCTAAATCCGTGGCTCATACAGGATACTTTAAAAAAACTAACCCTTTGAGGTGTAACTTACATGCAGTAAAGTGAACCTATTCTACATGTTCATGATGACGAATTTTGAACAGGTATATATGTTTCTGTAACTACCATCTCAGCATGATATATAGCAATTCAGTCACTCCAGGAAGGTTCCCCCCCTCCCTGTAGCTCAGTTCCGGGTCCTCCTCCTCTGAGATCAGACTGTCATTTATCTGCTTTTATAAAAATATAGAGGTTTTTATGCTGAAATATGAAATTTCTAGGAAATTCATAAATTTATTGAACAGATACTTAGTGAATACCTCCTATGAGCCATACATAGTTTTAGACAAAAAAAGTACTAAACAAGCCAGGTTGGGGAGGTAGTCAGTGTGTGTGTGTGTGTGTGTGTGTGTGTGTGTGTGTGTGTGTTTGTGTGTAAGTACACCTGTGGAAGAGATAAAGGATAAAGACACATGGGGTGGGGGAGTC